CAGTGGCTAGCAGAAAGCACCACTTTGCGATGCCAACCGCGATGCCACATTACAATGCTTGTGACGGCATAAATTACTGTTAAACGGCATCTCAACCGGCATCCCCCCAAATGCCGTGTTCATCTGACGGACGCGATTGCATTTCAACAGGCTTTAACTGCCGAAAAGTCAATAGTGCCATAGAAAAGTGGAAATCAAGGGCGCCAAGTGCGATATTTATGTTAACACAATCTTTTCCCTACCCGTCAATTCTAATTATTCATTTGTGCTAATTGGCCATTGAAAACGACCAATGAGTGCATGGGGCTGTGTACAAGCGATGTGAAGTTGGGCCACGTAGTGTACTCTGGAGATTTCGCGTCAGCAAAGCGCAAGCGACGCTTGAACTTGGCATATTTAAATTCTGAAAGTCCGCTTAGAACTTCGAATGTACTGCAGAAGTACGTTAACGCACAAATGTTCGCATGCATTCTGTACTCAGAAACTTTGGCTATGTCTAGAAAATTCCTTTTCAGATACCATTGCTTTCCAGTAACAAAGAATGAATCCCATTTTAACGGTTTACCGCTGCATACTTCGGTGAGGCATTGCTTCAGAATTTTCTGAGTCTGGACAATTATCCGGGCATCGCAAATCCAATGCACGGTGTTGCAATAGAATAGCTGCGTCTCAACAGAAGCTATGATTTCCGTCTTCCATCCGAAGCGCTCCAAGTCGCTGGGATACGATAATATGTGAGACTTTGCGCTTTGGACGCTGTGATGCCTCCAGCGCGTTTGCGTGCCGCTAAACCGTGCTCCTGCATACACTGTTTTTGATTGTTGCTAATCCGGAGGTGGGATATGATTGCCCTTGCATTTTGGCATCAGCGTCTACGCCTGTGGGCATGCAGTGCACTTACTCCTCCATGCCTGTTTGTTTTGCATATAACGCCCTTTCAAGAAAATCTTGCAAAACAAAACAGTTGGAATACTAAGCATAGTGGCACCATTTTTTTATCTCCAAAGGGGCTAAGTTCCTGATGTGGAATGCACACTCTGTTTGTGGACACTCGGAGCGTCCATGCACCTGGTTTGCTGCGCTCTGGTTGCGACTCCAGAAAGCGCCGCAGACGCTCTCTAAAGGAGCCGGCTGTTGCTTACATATAACAAATGCAGGAAATTCAACAAGCACAGTAAATGCAGTATAGTCAGCAAGTACAGCTAATTAGGTATTACAGTAAATGTGGTATCTTTAGATTCGGAATTCGACACATTTCTCAGCCCCAGACACTAGTAATTTACAAAAGGGAGGACGCTCCCCGACACAAATTCCCGAAGAATTTTTTGAAAGGTTTTGGGAGGCCCACGCGCCTTCTGACGCTCCGGTGTCCAGAATGTTCACCGTTCCCCGCCGCACTCAGTGAGTTCATACTCCCCGCCTATGATGAGATATCGGTGTTCAAATTTACGAATTCGCTCCCATTCTATACAACAGTTCCCGACATCGATTGTTAAATTTCCCAGCAAAGCTCCCTTAGAACTGATTACCTACCGGCAGAAAATTGCGGACTCCAGAGAAGTCAAATTCCGCCTAGTTCCCCAATATCATCCGCTGTAAAAAAATTCTCCTCACCCTTTTTTGGGGATCTCCGACGTACACGCATTGTCTCGTCCTAATTTGGGCATCGCTTAGCAGGTTCCAAGAGGGGCAACTCAGGATGTCTTCCAGGCGTCCCCTTCATAGTTGGCACATGATTTTCATCTTGTTTCTTTCATTGAAATTCAGGCACCTGCAACGGAGATACGCGGATGTGAGCATTACACGAACGCAATCTTGTAATGCTCTTCTGGGCTAGAGTGGTATAGCCAAGTGTTTTAAAGCACCAAATCTCAAACCAATTTTTTCCCATGGACTGTTCTTGCAAGGCTGAATTGGTGCCACGGAAAGGAGATCCACAGAATCGGGCTTCCTAACCGAATATCATATAAGTTTAATCGTTTGAATGTTACCTGTCAACCCCAAATTTTTAAATCTGTGACAGTTCAGACACATTGGGACAGGTCCGCATCTCGCAGTCTGTGCCCCCATTTGATACATACATGAACCAAACAACTAGCAGCCTATGCCCCAACTTCATGCAATTCAACCACATTACTAGCTTGTCGATCATGAATAAATAATCTCATTATTCTTCATTTTCATTGTACCTTTATTCCATTTTGCGCCAGTGGGCGAGTATCGCAAAATTTGGCAAAAATCGGGTGCATTCGTAATAACAGGTAGCCTTCATGTATGGGTTAATCATTGCCTATGAAACAGCGCTTTTGATGCTGAATCGAAACGCATATGGGAATTACGTTTATGCCTTTTCTTTTTATTGTTTTAGGCGGAGGTTTTTCAATCTCTTCAAATGGAGTCACACATCAGCGCAATTGATGTGGCTGGTGTGCAGCAAAGACAACGTTATCAGGGATATGCAGATTTTCGTGTCGGGAAGTTTTCAGCAGGTCTCTAAGAGAGGGTGCCTTACCGGGATGCAATGGCAATTCGACGATATCTAAAGTGCATTTTCAGGAAATTGGCGTATTGATGACTAATATTTTTCTGATTATTTTACGGCTATTTTTAAATAGCAGGTATAGCATTCGTATGTAGATTGTTTCGGCTCACATGCAAAATGGGTAAAGCGATGCGATGTCTAATGGCACGCAAAGTGCACCACAATTCAGACCGCATGTATGGGGACGCTACCTCCGGCCATATGCAGCCGAGCGCATGCCCCATGAACCAGATGAAATACCGTAAAAGCACCACGAGTACTGGAACTATCGAAGGCGCTTTCGGAATAAAGCGTCAAGGACACGCCTTGCAGAGGGCTCTCCATTCATCCGTGCACAAGAACTTTTATTAATTTCGAAATGCACAATTTGGGAAGTCTAAAGGCATGCTCAATACGAAATTTCTGCAATGAAAAACATGCCATTCATCGTGTATTCTTGAAAAGTATTGATATGATTGAATACGATTCCTCTAGAGGAGACTCTGAGCTGCGACATACGTGCTGTTTTTTCGCCGTTTCTGAGCACGTGGCTTTGCAAATTTGCAGTGATTAGGCATGGACCATGTACCTAATATTCTGATAATGAACATTAAAAGCTCGGCCAAATATCTTTGGGTTCAGTGCAGGGACAGTATCTCGGCGCAGAAATGCGTATAAAAAAGTCAAAACTCGGAACTTTGTAAGGAAAGGTGCTATGTCGATTTTGTTATAATGCTGCCAGAGTCGTCCTTGCATCGACATAAGTATTGACGCTAGGGGGAGAGAAGGAAGGGGAGGGGGGGGAACATCAAATTAACGCTAAGCCAAGTGATATGCAATTTCTAGCCTAGAAACCACCTAAGATGGTTTTGAGGAAGAAGAATATCGAACTTGTGCTCATTTCGGTGGGTTGATAAATGTGATTCTAATTGACATTATAGGCGAGGGTGGCAGCCTTAATTGTTAAAGATTGATTCATTTTAAGGCCATTTCTGAACATCGAATACTTGCAGACGGTTTGGGAATGAGTCACGAGTTGTTTCTAACTGATTTGCGGCGTTTTTGAGTATCTTTCCTCCTTATGTCCATTTTGTTGCAATTACATAATATCTTAGCGGTCGCGAGTCAGCAGGAATTTTCCTCCCGTCAATTTGATGCTAAGTGTAGCACAATCGGCATGGTGTCTTACCTAAGTAAGTTTCAATTTTTGTGAGCTGAAACAAGGAACAATATTTACAGCAGTTGTTACTGCTAGCGTTGTGACTAGTCTAGCTGCGGGGTTCTGGCCCACCGTTCGAATGGCTCTTTGGCCTCGTAAGGCCATTGAGCTCACTGCGCTCCCACAGGCCATCATTTTCCTTCCTTAGCTCGGCATTCTTCGACTCCAGGTCATTCACCTGTGGAAGGGGCATCAGCGCAAGGTACCAATGAGAAAATGCCCATGTCGTGAAACTTCAACCTGTGCCTTCATTTCGTTGAAACCGCGAATATTTTGGGCTAACATGTCATGATGCTCGTGCATTTCACTTAGCATTCTAAACTATTGCATCTATACACTGTGTATATAAACTCAGTGTATGTTTGTTTAAATTACTATATCACGTAAATGAACTTCGTAATTTTTACTATTTTGAGATATTTTACTTTATATTTATCTTCTGTGGTTCAATGCCCACAATTTAATGTACGTAACCTTAGGAACCAATTTATGTACAAATTTATACTTAGGTACTGTTCATTATTTGTGTGACTTAGTCATTTTTGTCATTGTCTTGTTCGCAATTTTCTTACTCCTTACGAGTTGTTTTGTATTGTATTCTTGAAAGCCGTGCTGAAATGGACCAAAATCATGCAATATTGGTCGGGTTTTGGACCACATTCTCCTGCGAGGTCAGCCAATCGTGCAGTGACACAATGTTGTGCACCTGCACTGAAAACATCCTTTCTTAGCATTAAATATCCAAACAATTTGCATTCCTAACCTCAATGAATCAATTTGTGATTGATTGCGGCCAGCTCTGCCGTCGCACCCACAGCGCGAGTCCTGAAATGCGGCATTGGCCTCAGAGCCCTCGCCCAGGTGTGCTGACCAAGCTCAGCAACTTGACCTGCTTTGCGCCCAAGCAAGCAACATTGCCCAGCAACCAGCCCTTCGCAAAGCACTCCACAGCGCCTGAGCATCGCCGCTCGCTCTCCAAGCGTTTCCACCACATCAGCAGCCGCGCTCCAACGGCGCAGTACTCCCAAGCACAAGCGCAAAACGCCCTCCCAACACACCGAGTGCCACACAAGCAAAAGCCAAAATGCATGTTCCATCCAACGCTTGCGACAAAAACGGCGGATGACGCAAGCACCCCCCTCCCCATCCACTCATCTCCATGAATCCCCCACCCTCGCCAAAACAATGACCACAATCCCCGCGGCTCGTTCTGTGTCCCCCCCACCCCCCCTCTGCCCGCCAAAGCGCCCCGCCCCCCACCTTATCCAGCAGCGCCTTGATGGCCGCCTCCAGGTCCTCGATCTTCTTCTTCTGCCTCTCCCTGAACCTCAGCTGCGCCTCGCGGTTGCGCGCCCTCCTGACGGCATCCTTGTCGGTCCCCAGCCCCAGCCACTCGAACTCAACCGAAGGGTCGGAATTTCTGCGGGGCCTGCCGCCGCGCCGCGCCCCAGGGGTCTCCGGCGAGGCGCCGTCACTGCTCGGCGGCGTCTCGCTCAAGAGGCTGCCGACAAGAACGCCCAAAGGGGGCGGAACAGCCCGTCAGTGGTCACTCATGATTGATTGTGATCACCGTTGATGGTGGCAGAAGTCATGGCGCGCGGCAGCCCTTTTGAAGGAGCCCGACTGGGCCAGGGGGGCCGGGGGACCGGAAGAGGTTTTCGTTCGGACGAGACGGACGCGCGGCGGCGGAGGAGCGTGCCGATTCTGTGGCCGGGGCGCCCAGCCAGGGCCACGACACTTTTCGTCAGGACGCAGTTGCGGGGCGCGGGAAGGCATGCCGATCCGGGGGCGAGCCGCATCAAGAGGTCGTCCACGTCCCGGGGCCTCCCCTCCCCCCTCATAGCCCTCTCCTTTCGGCCAGACCGAACCACATCGCGCGACCACTCCAGCCACTGACGTTCCCCTCAGGCCCCCCGCCGCCCCCCGCGGCCCCATTCCCCCCACTCTGAACCTCGGCTCGTTTTTCGCCATCACATCGGCCCAGCGGCGACTCGCGAGAACCGTATGGCCGTCGGATACATCGGGAAAGAGCGAAACAAGATTCCTCCCCCCGGGGTGCGTCACTCACCGTGACCCCATTCTCCCAGCCTCGGCACCTCGGCTCAATTTTTACCGTCCCATCGACCCAGCGGCCACTGGCGGGACCAGTGCGCGTCGGAGTGCCACCCCAGGCGACCGAAAGCAAAAGGGGCGAGCGCAAGTGGCGGCTTTTTGTCCTGGTGCGTCACTCACCGCGTTCCGGTGTCGTCCGAGTTGGACGCGGGTTCAGCCGGCGTCAGCTGACGCAAGCGCTCTGCCAGGTCCTCCGAGAGGGTGGGCACCAGCACGAGGGGCGCCTGCGGGCCCTCGATGGAGCGCGACTCGCCCGTGTCCTGGTTGATGACCATCTTGGGCACGCCGGCGTCGTCGCAGACGATCGCCATGCGCCCCTCCACCCACCACCCGTCGGGGGAGCCAGCGTCGGGGTTCATCACGGAGGAGAACCACAGAATGGGACTCGAGGCAACCGCAGGGAAAGAATGACCGCTCGAGATGTCACAAGGCCGGAAAAGGTGAGCAGCAACGCGCTCCTGGTGCCGGGGGTGGGGGTGGATGTCGGGAACAGGGCACCCGCGGCCTCTGGGCTTGGCAACGCCTGATTGTGGATGCGAGGCTTGGCGCCAGGCTGGGACGGCCAGGGGGCGCCAATCGCGGAGCAACGGCGCGATCAGGTCAGCCAAGCGAACCCTGCGCGGTAGGCCGGGTTGTTGCCTGTGGACTCGGGCGGGTACTCGGGGCTTGCGGGCCGCGTCGCCAGCGTCCAGGAAAGCAGTGTGCCCCTTTTGAGCCGCTGGGGAACCTGGCTCGGGAGGCAGCTGCCTCGGTTGCGCAAGCTGCGGGGACTTGACGTCACCGGTGAGGTGAGGTGACGTGGAGCACGTGACGGAGGGCGCGAGCGCGTGTGGGACGAGTGCATGGCGGTCTGGGGTGCTGCGTTGGGCCCGGGGGGTCCCACTGGCTGGCTGGTGGGCATTCGGCTGATGCGAGTGATGTGTGTGAGGTGGATGCGTCCCGGGCCCGAGGGACCGGCTCGGAAGCGCGGGCCGCGGACTGGGGCGCGTCGGGTGCGACGGGGCGGCCCCAAAAATGACGTCCAGCTGCCACGGGCGTTGAAAGCGGCCTGTGATAGGGCCCCTGGCTTGGCGCCGGGCGCAGGCTACGACACACCTGCAACTGCGCCCTTCGTTTGCAGCAACTGCGCCCTTCATTTGCAGCAACTGCGCCCTTCATTTGCAGCAGCTCCGTACTTCAGTGCGGCAGCTGCAGTGCACAGCTGCGAGCAGGAGGCCGCCGGCAAGAAGCGAGCAAAAAAAGCGCTAGACCGGCGATTGGCTAATGATGTGCTGGTCGCGTGAGCAATGCGAGGCATTGTTTTTCATACCCAGTTGGGCCAGCTACGGATTGCGGAGAATATGGGAGCGGCGTGACAGCATCCCGGCTGACAGCTCGGCGTCGAAACGGGGACTGGCTTCACAGGGGATGGCGCCACTCCGGCCGAGTGGCGTCTGCAGATGTGCGCGACTTGAGCAAGGATTGCGCCCTCTGTCATAGCTGCAATGGTGCTGTGGCAATTGGCAGCGTGGGCATCAATGGGGAGCGACGCTGCAGTAGTGCCTGCTCAGCGGCGGCCGGAGTGCTTTGGCGGTGGCGTCTGAGCTTGTCAGCGCGGATGCATGACGTCACTGCCAGGTCACTCACCCAACACCTTTCGGGCTAGATGTGGAGTGAAAGTTAGATATAAGAGCTTAATAATGCTGGCTCTAAGCAAATGTTCAATTAGATTGAATTGAAATGAGTATTGTTCTCGAATTCTGCACCAAAAATCGCTCGCTGGTGAACCAATGACCAGTTTGCAGGAAGGATAATCCCAGCGGCGGTTTTCCCGCAGTCGACTCGAAGTCTTCATCACGCAATGACTGCCTTATGGGATCATGGGGCTGCTGGCAATGAGAAATACATCTGGAAACATTCATTCCTAAGGGGCAAGCATTCACAGGCAAAACCGTACATATCCTGAAATGGAAGTGTTTATGGGTGGTTCAATCCGCTGCAGCGCCGCAAATGCCCTCTATACTTGAAATTGTGTGGCCCCACGTGGCGGAATGCAGGGAATCTCAATGTGGTGTGGAACCTGCGCGTCGCAGCCCATCAGAAAACGTCGCAACTTTCAGTGGTGTGCGTACAGCCTGCGCTGCTGTACATAAGAACAGAGCAAATAGATTCACTGAATTTGGCAAAAGAGGAAACAAGATTCGAAGCAAGCGAAATTGTACATTGCACCAAATCTTCATTGAGAATGCTATTCAGCTGCGAAATGACTTGGAAAATGGAATGAATATTTACAGAATTAGTATTTTTGAATGAATGAAACTTAACAGTGTGGCAGGTATCTATTGATTTAGTTTCGGAATTGTGTCTTCATTTGTCCGAATTTTTTGTCCCCCTTTTCTAAGAGGTCAATTTTGTACCCACCATAAGTTCTTTCACTTCTATCAAGACTGACAGAGAACGCACCAGTGCGGTGCATGTGAAAGTACAGTGAATTGCGTGGCTCTGTTGAACTGCTGAAAACCATCAGGCTTTCCCCAACTCCACTCTGCATAAATACAAATAAGAATCATGAGGCGAGAGTAAAGCAAAAAAATCGAAAGTCCTGCTGACCAGCCGCTTCACGGCTAATGGTGTATGTGGAACATAGAGCATTTTTGCAATGGATTTCTATGGTTGCAGATATGATTGCAAATTCATATCCAACATTAGCCAGCGAAGCGAGGATGAGACAGAAACGATCTGCATACATACGCAACCTAACTGATATGCGAGCTGATCGCACTTCGCCACCTTGATGTTGGTGCCTTTAAAAATGCTCAAATGAGACTTACAAACCTGGAAGTCGACCGATCCTACCACTGCAATGTTTCGGAATAGTTGCGCGGCGGAAGGGCGGGATGGCTGCAATTGATTGAACCGTCATTAGCAGTGGGGAATGAGATTGCAGTCTCCTCTGCGTGGGAAACAGGCACCGCTCGAAATTGGCTGTCTCGAGGTCTCCAAGGCGAGCATTTATAGTTTACCAACGTCCTATACTATTCATTTCCGCACATGGAGCGTGTGAAGGTAGTTTCAGGTGTTTGGTGTAGGTTCCGATGACCCTCGTACCCTCAACATTCTTCACGAACATTTCATCAACTTCACTCGGAAATTGTCGGCATCAGACAAGCCTCTTGCAACGCCTTTAGACCCTATTTGAAAGGAGTCACGCTGCAGAGATATACTTGATGGCACACACACACAAGGTCCAAGTGCTGCCACGTCATGGAAACTGAAGTCCTCCGGTTGCCCATTTGCACATTTCGGGATGATCTTTGTTATCTCCAGCGCAGATGTGTCACACACCAAGCAACCCATCAACTGCCATAGGACAACTGGGAGACCCTCGACCAACAAAGAGCTTTTGATGCATGCAACCATGAGTCATGGCCCGTGGCCAGTCCATATCTGGCCCCAAGAAAATCAATCAGTGTATCAAATACGCACTAACAACGATGGTTCCTAGATATGGAGGACTTAACAAGGCTAGCCAAAGGACTACCCACCACCACGCCACCACCACATGCCAAAATGGGTTGCTATTGCAAGCCAGTAACTAGTCTCTAAAGTTGCAAGTGAGACCCCACAATCAACGTCAACCATTGATAAAGGCATCAACATGGAGGGGTGGCAACACCTGAAAGGGCTCTTTACGCTGATTATATAATACGGCAACGGACCGCAGTGGAGCAAGGAGTACACAGGGGGCAGCCCCCTATACACAAGGTCACCTATTAATGTCCAACAATCCAAAAGATCCACTTAATCATTCCATTGATTTTCCAATTTGGCTATTGAATATTTCTTTTTGAGATAGTGGACTTTGTTTATTGACAGTGCAAAACTACTCTATTTTGTAGCAATGAACTGTTTTGTTTTGTGATAGTGGCTAGGACTATTCGTTTTTGTGACAATGGCCCTGTTGATCTCTATGCGACAGTGGCCATGGCTGAGGTGTGACTGGGCTAGCCAAACGCCGGGAATCAACCGGCCAACCTTATTCTTTGCCTC